CAGAAGGTCCTTTAGGGGTTCCAACAGACCGTTCAGGCGCAACAAGTGACGCCCGAGCCTCAACCCCCATAGGGGGCCGTCTGGGACTGTTCTGGCAGAGGTGTGAACAGACCACAATGGACGTTTGGATCCTGTCAACCTTATGGTCGGGTCTCTCTCTAGAGTTTCTCTCCTCCCTCCCCCAAGAGCTTTTGTATGCTGCCCCATCTCCAGGGACCCCGCAAAGAGGGATCTCATGGAATCAGTGATCCACCATCTGCTGGACATTCGGGCCATCCAGCCGGTTCCAGTGGATCAGGAGAGACAGGGTTTCTATTCAATGTTGTTTGTGATTCCAAAGGTCTCGGGGGGGTGGCAAGCAATAGAATAGGGAGGAAATGTCCCTTTTTTTCGCAGTATCAATGAACTATCTGTTTGAAGACAAGGAGCAGCTGAATTCGCTTCAACGTCGTTCAGAACTGGGGACCGCTACCAGGGGGTGTGTCCTCAGTTTTTCAACTCGGTCTGCAGAGCTAGGAGATTAGAGACTACCCATCCTGGATTCTCCCTTCGGCTCCCCGAGAAGAAGCGTTCAGGTAGGACCAACGCCCCTTCTGTGTGGAAATATGCAGACAGATACTAAATGGGCTGATAAGAAACAGTACAAAAGAATAAGAAAAACATGTGGCCATCATCCATACTGGACTTTTCCCCTTGTCCATCTGGAATTGATTTGCATTTCAATAGCTGACTTAGTGGGATGAGTATGTCCTCTTCCTGCTACCTGTTCCCTCTCATTACTCGTGTTGTGGTGTTCCTTCCTGTCCATCATATCACAACTGAGAATCTCCAAGTAAATACCAGGGGCATGCCTTTCTTCTCTTAGTTTAAGGAACATCACTAATATGATGCTATTTCTTTGGCATAAAAAAAGTCCCCACCACAGGTCTACTTGCTGATTTGCTTTTGCATACTCCATTTACAGAACTTGCAATTTCTTACAATAGTATTGCATGTTGCATAAATTTTGTGCCTATTTTGTACATGCATACCCATGTTTTGTACTCCCCAGTAGTCAATTGCTGTACATTTTCCTGACAAAAAAGGACTGTACACTCTAGATTTAAAATAAAAACTGAAAACAAAAATACAAAAGATATCAGTAACAAAATAAAATACTTGGATAAAGAATCCATTTCCAATAATTAATGTTCAACACAGAATACATAGTACCTAAATACATAAAGCTGCCTTAAGAGGTATACTACTGAAGAATCACACCTGTTTTTGTAATTTTTTTCCTCAGCCATATTTGTTTTGCCTTGACCTTGTTGAAATGGTGTCAGGTTTTATAGTCTTGGTTTCTTTATGCAGAAATATGTTTCTTAAAATTCAGTGCAGAAGTTTGGAGCAAAATAGAGTAAAAAGTCTGAGAAGAAAAGATGGGATAACAGAGAAATGCCACATCTGTACCTGGTTCTATCTTCTGCCACAAAAAAATAAAGGGAAAATAAAAGGGAAAAAGAATGCTACCAGCATCCCTGAATGTATTATACCTCTTATTTAAACACAGGGCATCTTTCTCCAACCAGATGCTTCAGTTTCTATACTCCTCAACAAGCATGATTTTTCATCGTTAGTAGAAGATTATGATAGCTGAATTCTAACATATCTGGAGGAGCACTAGCATGGGAAAATTTGAACTCAAATTCTGCCTACATATGGGTATGATTAAATAGGCAGGAACAGAAGCTGGAAACTCATGAGTATTCAAACTGAGTTTAATTTGCTTAAACATTGTAAAATATCAAATGTCTAGGATGAAACCCAATTGAAATACAGGCAAGGATCCCAGATTTATGCACAGTAGCTTTCCAGGATCTCTTTTGCTAGTGTGATCCTTTACCCACCCCTAAATGCCAAAGAATTCTCTGTACCTTCATTGTATGAGGCACAATGGGCTGCAATCAGGAGAAGAAAGCGGTAGCTTTGTAAATGCATGCCAGTGCTTAGTTTGAGAACATGCAGGGGCCTCTTTTGATTCTAGCTGCATTAATTAAATATTGGAGCAGAAAAGTAAATGCTCAATTGAAGGATAACAAGTAACTGAGCAAATGAGCTCTAACTATAGCCTTCCATTTAGTGCCCTTTGGCTTCACTCCCTTCCTGTACTTGGCTTCTAGTTTTACTACTGGCTTTTCTTCCATTCTTTACATTCTTCTGCATATAGAAATTTGTCACAATTATTGCTGTTCAGCCAGCCCTCTCTTTAACTTCAGTCCACAACCTTTTGGACTGGGAACTTGCAATCACGCACAGCTTTTTGATATAAGTAGCTTTCCATTCTCTTTCCATCCCGTAAACGCTCTTGAGCTTCCCCTCTTTGGTCTTCTCCCCTCAAGAACCACAGAGGCTTTTCTTTGCCAATCTTTTACAAAGCGGGACTCTTAAGAGTTGATTCATTGGATTGGCTACTTTGTGTATTTTGGATCTTGTCTCTTTGCCTTTCTTTAATACATTGACCAGTTTTGCACACACACAATTCCAGGAAGCCATCCAGCTGCCTTACTGGATGCCAAAGTAATAATGTTTGTGGGTTTAATCGCCATACTTATTCATATATGTCCTTAGATCTTGTTTGCCTTTCCTAATGCTGCCAGATGTTGCTTGGATGGTTTTACAAACATATGGTAGTGAATGTTCCCATACCAGTGATTTTTTTTTTAACAGATTGAAACTATTTTGTTTTAAAGGAGTCTTTTGGACCAAACTAGGTATTACATGAAAACATGTGTAGATTACTTATTATAGCTTTTTTTTTAAACACCAGGGAATATCTTTTTTAGCAAGACAATTTGGATCTGGGTATGCATGCTTGTGAATGAGTGCATACGTATCTAGGATTCAATTCAAATTGACACTGAACTTCTTGGCTGCCCAAGAAAACAGGCATTTATATATGAGTTTACCAAGAAGCATTACTGGGTTTGCAGGGTAACACTGAGCTGGGAAAATGGTATCAGCACCTTTTCTCCCATAATGTTCAGTTTGAATTGCCCTTCTCAAAAGGATTGTTGCTCTGTAGAAGGAGTAATTTGTGTGTTTTCTGTATACAAAAATCTCAAGGTTTTGCCCCCCCACAATTCAGTTATTTTTTGAGTCATAAATTTTTCTTTTGAAACAAAATTTCTAGTTATGTTATTCTATTTATATCACAATTCTGTATATTTCTCCAGAAGCCCCATTATGTTCAGTGAGGTTTATTCTCATAAAAGTATGTGCAAGGATTACTTTCTTACTCTCTGTGTTGAGTATTTGTTTAAAACAAACCAAAGTTTGCATCAATGCCCTTACACATTTCTTTTTGTAGAAGTTTCAATAATTTGGGCCTACTGTAGAATGTTGTGATGTCAGGAGAAATGGTATGACTAAAAAGCAGACTTTGGAATGTATGATTGAAGACTATGAAGGAAGTAAATATGCCAGTTTTTAGTTTGTAAAAATTAAATACGATCCTGTGTACAAAGAAGTGTGTGAAACATAGCATGCATAGGGCCTGTTTCTTGCAGTTCTTGACAATAGATTTTGTTAAAATAGTTGTTATACACACTGCTTTTGTTAAGTGATCAAAACACTCAAATACATCACCTTGCCAAATCTAACAATTACCCTCTATTGTGAACTAATCTTATATGTCCTGAACTACAATTAATGTAGGATTGAATGATTTTTCTGCCTAATTAGTAATCTCTGAATCAGGAAGTTTAATATCATAGGCTTAAGGATTTTCTCAATTCCTGAATGTTTCATATCTCATATAATTCACCCTGTCTTTAGAGATATTTTGGCCTTCCCTATTAACATTTGGACCATATGTAAGAGAAATTTTAAATACAATGAAATGTTACCTGCCACATGCTGTCTAATATGAAGTACAAGTAGGCCTCACTTATTAACTGCCTCATTTAACAACTGTTCAAAGTTATGATACTGCAAAAAAAACCAAAAAAAAAAAAACTTTGCAACCAAGGCACACATTACAACCTTCACAGCATACCTCAGTCACATGGTAGCTAAAACAGTCAGTACACTTGTCCTGTGTCTAACCCCTTTCCCCCTTTTCCTTCTCTTGTAGAGAGGAGAGTTTGGAGAGGAAGGGATTACAAGAGGATAAGTAGGCACACAATGGGGAATACACATAAGAACGAATGCACTAGCACTGGCATCCCCAACCACAAGGGTTGAGAGCCAGAAGCACATAGGCAAATGTGTTCTTATATGCTCCCTTCTTCTTCAATCTCTCTGCTATGTGAAGGGGAAAACAAAAAACCCAAGCAAACAAACACAACCAAAACAGATCAGGCCCAAGAAAGATTGTCCAAATAAGTGGTTTAGGCAATCTCTCCTGTGCCTGAGCTGGGTTTTTTTTTTTTCCTTTTGCTTACAAAAGAGTAAGCAGGCACATAATGAGATGTATACTGGCAGTTGGCCTAGTGTGCTCACAGATCCCAGCCCCAAACACAGAGGATAACTAGAGCTGGAAGTGGAACCCTCTGCTGAAGCAGGAAACCTTGCAGCGTTTCAGACAAATGGCTATCCAGTCTCTTCTTTAAAAACTCCAGTGTTGGAGCATCCACATGTTTGGGGCTTGCTTGTACCAGCAAGATTCCTTTTGATGTGTGTTTTCCATTGTGTGTCTGTTTACTGTCTTGTTATCCCTTTCTCTTCAGTGAATGTAAATGTAACAATTCACTCCTTGCTAATTATTCCGGGACAGGGATGAGCATTTCAAAGGACAGGGGAGTGGAGAAACAAGAAAGCTAAAGTAAAAGAATAAGCACAGTTGCAGTCATATGATTCCACATGGAGTGATTGCTTTGTTTAACAAGTTGCCAATCCCAATTGTGATCATTAATCAAAGACTACCTATATCCTAAAAATAAATGAAGACGTCCATGATCCGTCCTCAATGCTGGGGAGACTATTCACCTCACATTTAATGCTTTTGCTTTCTGTTCCAGACTTGCTGACTGCCAAGGAGTACCACTGCTTACTGCAACTCCTTTGCCCTGACTTTCCTGTGGAGCTTACTCAGAAAGCAGCAAGGTGAGCCTTTATGCATTCCCAGATGAGTACTGCCTTGATTATATTTTAATGCCAATGATCAGTTCATATTCCAATAGTAAAGGTAAAAGATAAAGATACCTTCAAGCTGACTCCGCTGCTCCACTTGGATGTATTCATGTAACATTATTGGCAACACTATGTTGATAGTACTCAGCAATTCTAAATTATCTGTATTACTGGAACAGATTACTTTTTGCTGCATAGAAATGGGGGCATAGTTCTTTCTGCATGATTGTAATTCATTCATAGTTTCCCAGCAGAAACCTTTGACTTTGCTGCTGTCTGTTGCCAATTAAATATGGCAACTTTTGGTATTCAGGTTTAAAAATGAAAATTAATACCACGGCTGCAACATCTGTATTTAGAAAGATGTTTCTCACAGGATTTTTTACTATATTAGAATTGAAGCTCATATTTCCACCAAATCCTGCAATTCATCAATACTTACTGATCTGTTGGTTTTTTTTTCAGGAGTAAGAGCTCTTATGATGAATGACAAAGACATACAGTTCTGGATTCATTTGCAGACTAAAATATCTAAAGAATATCTAGCTTAATTCTAAACCCACATAGAAACCAGACTAATATAGTTGCTTGAAAAGTAATTGACATCTTCCTCACTCTTAATGGTTTGTTGACGAAGCCATCTCTAAAAATATAATGCACTAAGACGACTCTAAAATCTAGGATTTCTGTGATTGCATTAGGGTCTTGAAGCTTCTTGTTTTGTTTGTTTGTCTCCAAGGGCCAAAACCTCAAATGAATAATGAGTAGATTTTATCAGGTACTTTGGGATTTCCCAGGAACTTGCAGTGTGTTTCATCAAATGCTTGGTTTTACTGAGGAGTTAACAGAGCTCTTGAAGTGATTGTCCTACAGCAGCAATTCTCAGTTTACCAATCTTATGTTTGGTTCTTGGAGATGAAACACCAGAAATAAATCATACAGCACTTGTACAAAAAGCAGCACAACTATGGAGAAGAGCTTAACCTGTAAAGATCAGGCCAGTGAACTACCACTATTTGTCTTATTGTGTCATTGGTTTGTTGTTCAGCAGTGCTAGTTAAGATGGCCTGCTCCTTCCGGGAAGAGATAAGCAGGAAGATCTGCCAATCTGCATAGTGTTTGCTGATAAAAGTCATTCAAATTCTTGTTTTTTCTATACCTGACCAATCTCTGAAATTGTGACTGGAGCAAAGTCTTGTTCAGTGATACAAAATTCATTTTGGCTCATAAAGTCTAATAAAGAAGGGCTCTGTAGCCTGTAACTGAAATGTATACTCCTTTTGGGTCCTTTCACTAGGGGACAGGGATTGAGTGACTAGATTGGTAAATGATAATGACTATCTAGGAGAGTTGGTTATACTAGATGCTTTAAAAGAGGCAAGCATGCATTGTTGAAGAGATCTCCCCTAGATCTGGCTACATTTTGTTTCTAGCCTTCTCTTTCTAGAGAAGGCTGTTAAAAACATGATAAAAGTTTCGGCTACAGAATGTCATACAAAAGCAAATTATGTGATGATAGATTCAGATAGAGTTCAGTCAGGATATGGGACACAAGTATCTTGGGCTGCTTTGGTTGACAACCTTCAACAAGATCTGGATTGGACTCCTCCTGGTGGTACTTGATCTTTCCCTAGTGGTTTGACAATGGTAACTTTCTGGACTGTCTGCAAAGTTTGGGGATCAGAAGCACTGCTCTACAATCTCTTTCTCCTCAAGCAGACAGTGCCAGTTGGTGGCAAGGGAGGAGAGGTTAGCACAACAGGGAATCCTTTGTGCAGGGATGGCATTTTAAACAAATAGTAACAGCGATTAGGAAAACACGAACTTGACGGGAAAAATAGGAAGGCATGAGAAAGAAACTCAAAGTTCATCTTCTTTGACTCTGGTATAAGAAGAAGAGAAGGAGAAATGCTTTCATGTATTTAAAATTCTGTTATTATAACTTATGTCAACAGAATATTTCTTGTGGCGCTTGTTTACTAACCTGGTCTACCTTGAAATGATGACAGGGCCTTTTTTTTTAACACATGTATGAAACCACTAGGACAGGTTGTCCATCAGTTTGAGATGAGGTATTAGTATGCTTGTAATACCCAGTTAAACATATTCACCTTGGGCCAGACCAGAGAGTCTGTGACATTCTTTCTAGAGGTTACAAGAGACTGATACAAAACAGGTTGAAGTTCAGGTCCAAAATTACTGTTTATACAGAAATCTGGCATTTTGTCTTCTCTGGATTTATTTCTTGGTTGGGGAATCTCTCCACCAAGGAATCAGGTCTGTGATCTTCAGGTCACCCTGAAGATCCTTCTTTAAGCGCACCAATTGGAATCTTGCTTGGAGCAGGAAGCTCTGGCAACAGTGACATATTTATTTATTTTATTTTATTTATTTGATTTGCCAATTGTTTACAAGATAATAAGTATAAATGTATACATAGTTGTGAATACATGAAATGGGTACATATAAGAAAAATAAAAGAATAGGAGAAACAATAGGACAGGGACGGTAGGCACGTTGGTGCGCTTATGCACGCCCCCTAAATATGCCTGGCTAGATTACCACAGTGTACCTTATATGGGAATATCTTTGAAGATGACTCAAAAATAACAATAGATACAAAATGGAGGAGCCTTCATGCTAGGAGTTGAGAGCTATTTGTAGCCAGTTACATTGCAATGCTTCTTTAATTTTCAATAGGTTTGTCTGTACAGTTCAATTTCAAAGGGCTTTTTAAAACTGATAATGGCTTGGCTCCTAGGTTCCTTCAGGATCCTTTGGTATAACTTGCCAGTTACATTCTTTATGAACACAAGATGATTGTATTAGGCTAATAATGATTATTTTAAATTTTATTTCATTCTTTTAATGTTTCTGCTGTGGTGATTGGCTTATGGATTCATAACTGTGGATTTATGTTTTATGCCTTGGGTGGTTAATATTTGGCAGTATGAAACGTAATACATAAAGCTCCAGCTGCCACTTAGGGGGTCTTTGACTCTTTGCCACTTTTGTTATGGAAATTGAAAGTCTCCATTGAAATACAAATCTCCCCAAATCATGTTTGAAACCTGCTTTTTAAAATGTGATAGAGACATAGGTGTACAGCAAAAGGGCACTTTTTGATTCTCACAATGGATTTGGAGAAAATGACAACTTTTCCACAACCTTTTAGCATCTTATTAACATATCTTTTAACAATTCACATGTTGTTTATATCAGTATGAGTGGCTTAAACAAGTTACTTACTAGATTCTTAAGAATTGGCAAATAAAGTGTTCTAACAGATCAACTCAATTTAAAATAGAAGTCATTTATTTTTCAGCTTAGATCTGCCAAATGAGATTAATAGCAGTCTCTTTCAGAAACCGTTTGTGGGAATGAATGAAGAAGAATTGCCACTAATAATTGCAAAATTGGCTAATGACTTCCATGAATCTGACTACAAGTCTAAATTAAAAACTTGGATGTATGGCTGCTTTTTTAAAAATAACTTGCAACCCTTTTCTAAATATTAAGTTTTGTTGAGGGGGCAGCCTTTCTGTTTCTATGCTTGTGTGGGTGTGCTTACTTGGAGACAAGGGCTTTAAGGATTTTGGAATGCCGGGTGTGAGAGAAAACTGAGAGCTGTGTCTCTGAGACTCAGGTGGGGATGATATCACTGCCTTTACTCTTCCCAGGTTGAGAGCTTTGCTTTTGTCAACTATGCTAGTAAAATAAGTTCTTTGATATTGCCTTAGTCTGAAGAGATCTTGCCCTGGTTTTCTTCAACTGTACCATTTGATATTCTTATGTGCTTGTCTACTTTTCTATCAAAGGTTGTATTTCAACTTGACTGATGACCCATAAATTTCACCAGCTGGAAAAAAGATTAATTTGAAGAATCATTTTTTCCAAGCAATTTCTTCTTTGTATGCATACTGTATTCATCATATGCTTCTTTTTTTGAAGTCCTCTGACAGGATTTTTGTTGATTTTTGAGGGGTTATAAATTCAGTGGCAGCACACACTAGAAACCACAACCCACCAGGGACTATGGCTTTTATAGACATAGTTTATGTCACCATATTTTTTTGTATTCTTGAAACTGCAGACTGAGACGATTCTGTAATGCAGCTAGCTCTTCTAGGAGATGTTGCTATGTATTAATAACAAACAATAAAAAGAGAAAATTGAATAAGAGGAAAAAGAGGAAAAACAACAGCAAAGTAGAATGGCACATTGTTCATCTCTTAAGTATTCATTTACTTCAGTAGCTTACTAATGGAAAAGTGGACTAGGATTTAATAGAGGTTTATGAAAATGAAATTCTGAACCATAATTTTTGTTCCACATTTGATATTGTTCATCATAGATCTAATCCTAGTCAGTACAGAAGAATTAATTAAAGGGATAAAGGCAGTGGAAACTTTGAGACAAAGTCCCTTAAGGTTGAAAATACTGGAGAGAAGGAGAGGGATTGTGTCTTAGTTGCACATGAACACATGAGAGCCAGTTTGGTGTGGTGCTGAAGGTGCTAGTCTAGAACCAGGAGACTGTGAGTTCTAGACCTGCCTTAGGAATGAAATCCAGCTGGGTGACTAGGCCAGTCACTATGCTAATTTCAAAAAGAGGATATGGGCACGAGTACCCACAGCAGGAGTATGTCAAAAAAAATATATAAGGTGCCTGTGACTGTAATCAAAGCTCTGTCCCTTCTTAATATACACTGCACAAACTCAAAGCTTCAATAACACAATTGCATCTATGTTCCTTCACCTGTCCCATACAGATTTCAGGGTCTGGGAATAAAGAGCTATTGGGTTTCTATTGATACTTGTCAAAATGCTGGAGGAAATTATTAAGCTGTTGGTTTTTGAGAATTAGGAAAAAAATGCATTGCGTGGCATGAGTTTATCAAGATTAAATCTTGCTAAAAATATCCATTCTCCATTTTGGTAGAGTAACTACAGTAGCTTAATTGACCATGGGAA